TCACAGCGAGGCCGTATCGTTGGATGCTGAAGTATTTGAGCCATGCGAGCCAGCTGGCGATGGAGGGAAGATTGACGAGAAGACCGGCGAAGATCTGAGGAGAGAAACATTACACAGGTGAGAAAATATAAGTGTGTGTGTGTGTGTGGGGGGGGTGTGTGTGTGTGTGTCTCTCTCATGTGTGTTTGTGTCTGTGTGTGTGTGTGTGTGTGTGTGTGTGTGTGTGTGTGTGTGTGTGTGTGTGTGTGTGTGTCACCATCATGAAGACGCAGGCGATGGTCATGAAGATGTTGGCGATGGCGACCACCGTCTGGTCGGCGGAGATGGCGAGCGCCATGGCGGTGGCTGTGTAGGCCACCATGGTGACGGAGAACATGAAGGTGAAGAAGGCTGCAACCGTGGGCTTCAGACCTGTGAGGGAGAGGAGATCAAATAATGTTAATAAAATAACAAATAAATGCAAAGAAAATGTTCAATATGTCTACAAACAAATTAGATTAAGGTCCTAACAGGACGAAGCACTAAAAGGGATATTAGGGTGGAAAGAAGGGCAGTTGCCGTCTAAACTGAAATGAATTGTTGTTATTATTATTTTTAATTATGGAATTATTTACTGAAATACATTTCTTTTTCAACCCACTTTTAATAATGATTTTAAATATTATTATTTCTTCTTTTATTAATTTTTTTTGTATTAATTTTTATTTTATTTTAATTTGTAAATACAAATTCATATGAAAATAAAATAAGATTAATTATTTGTATTGTTTTTTTGACGCATCGATTAATCGTTAGGCCTATAAAACATACAAAAGAGTCCAAATATAAAGACTTCAAATAGTTTAATTCATTCAACATGCAATCAAGATTTCAATTGAACATTTTTGAAAGAATGTATGTACCTTTCAGGACCTTAGGAAGGCGTCTTTTTTTATTTAAATGAATTATTATAATTTTTTATTATGGAATCATTTATCTAAATACATTTTCTTTCCACCCCACTTTCATAAATTATTTTAAATATTATTATTTATTCTTCAACTAATATTTTTGGGATTATTTAATATTTTTACATTTTTAAATACACACATTGTAAATACAAATTCACAAGAAAATGTAATTATTTAGGTTAGTTTTGGGATGTATGCATTCATTGTAACGCCTATAAAACATCCCAAATTAATTTGACATACAATTAAAAAAGTAATGTACCTTTCGGGACCTTGAGAAGGCGTTTTGCCATTAAAAACTCAAATATTAAAATAGTTAATGATTAGTTTGGGTATATTTAACGCTGAGTGTGTGTTGGACGCACCGATCATGAAGTAGGAGACGCAGCTGAACACGATGGCAGGGATCGTCCTCAGAGCGATGATGTCTGACAGCATCTTACACAGGAAGTACACCGACACACGGTAATACCCGCTGATGTACTCGTGACTGAGGAGGAAAACACACACAGAGGGTTATTAACAGGAACATTTAAATATAAATCCCTGTCTGTTATGTCCAGAGGTGGGAAGTAGTGGAGTACAAATACTTTGTTACTGTACTTAAAGGTGGGGTAGGTAATTTTGGAGAAACCAGCTCGAGTGCGCTATGATTCGAAAATACACAACCGGAAAAAATCTGCCACTTCCTCACAGAGCCCCTCCTCCAACACACACTTGACCAATGAGGGCACGAGATAAGTTTGTGCACAGATGGAAGGCTGACAGGCAGGTAGGCCATCCAGTTACTTTAGCCGGCTCAGATGATTGGTCGTGCTTTTTAAAGCGCCACGGCTTCCATAGATGACATTTTTTTATGGATTTTCTTTTAAAGCACTTAAGATATGGTACTTTCTACTTCTTACATGTTGAACTCAAATACCTGTACTTTCTACTTCTTACATGTTGAACTCAAATACCTGTACTTTCTACTTCTTACATGTTGAACTCAAATACCTGTACTTTCTACTTCTTACATGTTGAACTCAAATACCTGTACTTTCTACTTCTTACATGTTGAACTCAAATACCTGTACTTTCTACTTCTTACATGTTGAACTCAAATACCTGTACTTTCTACTTCTTACATGTTGAACACAAATACCTGTACTTTCTACTTCTTACATGTTGAACTCAAATACCTGTACTTTCTACTTCTCACATGTTGAACTCAAATACCTGTACTTTCTACTTCTTACATGTTGAACTCAAATACCTGT